AGTGGAGGGTGTCCCTGCCCGCAGCAGGGGTGTTGGAACTAGATGATCTTTAAGGTCCCTTCCAACCCAAAACATTCTATGATTCTATGAATTTTGACAGAAAATGGAATACTGCTGGTTCGGGGCTGGCTCAGGGTAACAACTAGGCAGTTTATCAGTTCCCATCCTTGCGGTGTTATCACAGAGCCTGGCCACGGTATCTCCACACCCCTCCACCCTCCGTGCTGTTTTTGTGAGAGTTGGCAGCACACCAAGCTCCTGGTTCGGGGCTGGCTCAGGGTAACAACTAGGCAGTTTATCAGTTCCCATCCTTGCGGTGTTATCACAGAGCCTGGCCACGGTATCTCCACACCCCTCCACCCTCCGTGCTGTTTTTGTGAGAGTTGGCAGCACACCAAGCTCCCCTGGTGCTTGCCAGAATCTAAGGTTGCAGGCCATGTTGCTTATGGAACGGATTCTTTGCATATTCACCCTGGAAGTCTCCTCAGCACTGCTTTGGTCTCAATAAGCCACCTCCAGTAATTACTCCGCAGTACCCTAAAAACATCTGTTCTCTCATCTGCTGATAAGATATTGGACAAGAGATTTGAGGATGATAAATTCATTGAGCTTCAGAGTAAACGTTGAGAGGTCTATAGAAAAACCCTCTAACCAAAGCAGGATTAGGTATATGGTCAGACCTGGTTTCTCAGGACTTGGTCCATCTGGGTCTAGAAAACCTGCAAGGATGAAGGACTTCACAATCTCTCAGGGTGACCAATGCTTGTTCCAATGCTTGGCTAGCCTCATGGTGGAAAAGGTGAGGCTCCCCTTGCTGTGAGGTGTCCGTCAGCCATCCCTTCTCCAGGCTGAAGGAGCCCAACTTCATCAGCCTATCCTCACAGAGAGAGTGATCCAGCCCCCGACCACCTCAAGGCCCTTCACTAAACCCACTCCAGCTGGGCAACACCTTTCTGTTCTCGGGGTTCCCAAAAGTGGACACAGTGCTCTGGATGTGGACTAGAACGTTCCACAGAGAGAGGGGAAGTCCCTACCTTCCATGTCCTGGCGATGCTGCTGGTCCTACAGCCCAGGGCACTGCTGTCCTCCCTTGCTGCCAGGGCACACGGCTGCCTCCTGTCCAGCTCCCTGCCCACCAAGACCTTTCCCACAGAGCTGCTCCCCAGCCAGGCAGCCCCCAGCCTGTGCCATTGCCAGCGTGAGTCCCCTGCAGGGGCAGAACCTGGCGCTTGTCCTTGGGGGGTTTCATGAGGTTCCTCTCAATACCTGCTCTCCTTCTCCTTGAGCCCTCTAAGCACAATGACAGTGCTTGGTAGGACCATGGTGTGTCTCCAGTGGCACAAAGGGCAGAGGAGGGCTGCACTAGGTCCAGCCCACAGGGTTTCCATGATGGTGTGATGAACCACTGTCTAGACTTATGTCCCTTTGCCTTCTGGCTCCTCACAGCCTCTCCTGCCATTGCAGAGCCCTCATTAGCCTATGGTCTTCTCAGGTTTGCCTTCTCCTCTGGGACACTCTTCCTTGGATTGTCACTCATTTTATGAGGTGCCACTCTCTGCCACCTCAGAGTGGCCAGAGGTGCCACGGTCCCACTCTCTCCCACCTCAGAGTGGCCAGAGGTGCCACCTCTGCCACACACTGTCCCTGGAGATCCCCTCACTTCTCCTAGCAGGTCTCCATTCCTCTCCGGACTGACATCTGCCATCAGCCCCACCACAAGTGGGGCAGCGCCAGGTAGATAAGCCAAAGACCAGTTACTGTCTGAGTGGACATGTGCAACCAAGAAGGAAGGTCTTCATCCAGCCCTTGCTCCCTAACAGATCCCCCTGAGACTCTGAGCTTGTGCCCCTGAAGCCATCAAGAACCCCCAAAGGCAAAAGTCCTTTTGAGGGAGCAGCTTCTTGGGTGTATTCCTGACAGCAGCTTTGGAAGGGGTGTCCAGCAGCTTCTTGTGTGTATCCCTGACAGCAGCTTTGGAAGGGGTGTCCAGCCTTCTGGCCCTGCCCTGAGGAGCCCTTCTGGTTATGGTGGTGCTAGCAGAGAGGCCAGCTCTGGCACGCTGCTCCACATGGCCTGCTCCTGCCTTCAGCCACAGGGATGCCACTGTAGAGACAGCAGGACTGTCACAAGTTACACGAGACCTTTGGGGTAACAGCAATGCCAGGACACATCAGGACAGTGTGGAAGTGAGGAGAGAGCGGCCCTGTACAGGCCGTGTCCTGCTGCTGGG